CAACCCAAAGTGTGGTCCAATAAAGACCTCGGGCTGAAAAAGACAGCCTGAGGTCTAGTCTAGTCCAGTACCAACCTGAGGTCGGATTGGACTGGACTTGGTCCTCTGGATTGCCTGGACCAGTCCAGCAGTCCAGAACCTAAATTTAATTTTTTTTAAAATTTTTTTCTTCAATAGGAGGCAAGATTTTAACTTACTATATAAAATTTTGCACATATTTTAATCCATAGTTCATCAAATTTGATCATTCCCTTTCAATTTCCCAATAATGTCATGTTTTATTAATTAATCCTCATTAATATAGATCTTATATTATAAAAAATATATATGCATGTTCATTACTTAGGAAGTTAATAAATAAATTTTGATTATTTGAATAGACAAAAAAACTTACATAGAAAAATTAAATGAAATTAAAATTATATAAATAATAATTAAAAAAAACTGAGTTAGACTGGATGGGAACAACTGGTCTGAGGGGCCAGTCCCTAGCCCAGTCTAGCCCGATGAGACCGGTTCGGTCTAGTCTAGTCTTGTCTCGAGCCAATTTTTTTTGGACCGGACTGGACCAGGTTTGCTTGGGTTGAACCGGACCATACCAGACCATCGGGTTTTTGCACAGTCCTACATATGATGATAAGTTTTTTTTTCCCTATGTATGATATCCTATTTGTTGAGTTGTTTTTATACCTACGCATTAAATTTTGATTGTTAAATGGCAGAGCTATTTTTTGAAAAAGTGTCACAAATTCTTTATATATTAAATACGCATAACTAACTTACTATTTGTTTTTAAAAAAATTCTATAAATTATTTAAGAGGATTTTATAGCCGGAGTACATAACTCAACTCATCTAAAAAAATGTTTTTTCTGCCTTTGCCCATAATAACTGCCATAAATTTGGAGGAAAAAAACTCTCTCTAACCACAAATTGCAAATAGATAATAAAAGTAATTTTGGAATGAAACAATTAATGGCCAGCAAACTCTTGACTTATATTTTGAAACATAAAACTCTTTTAAAAGGTCACTTGTTCTCCCTCATTAACTTTTTATAAGAATCTGTATAGAGTTTTAGGAAAAATTATAGAAAGTCTCTAGTTGAATGAGTGAAGAATCATAAAAGTGAAGACTTTTTCACCAAAGAAAGAGAAGCATGCATGAAATTAAAGGTAAAAGTGGGAAGAAGGAACAAATTTTAGCACATGAATTACTTATTGGTTTCTATAAAATATCCAAATGAACTCTTATAAATAGGGACAGAGAGAGAGAGTATAAAGGACCAGGTGGAATATCAAAGATAAACATAGATCAATCTAACATATCATTGAGAAAAATATTCCACGCAATTCTAAATATAGGATATCGTAAAAAATTTATTTTGATTCTAAATATTCAACATCTTTGTCTTTTAACAGCTCATTATTTTTTCCCCCCAAACTACTCCTATAGTTAGATTGTTTTATAATGTACAAGTTATGTTTATAATACTCCAATACAAATAATCAAGAGGAGGGGTATATGATGAAAATAAACTCATATATATATATATATATATATTATAAACAATTGATTTACTTAATTTCATTAATTTGCATGAATAATTAACTAATTGGGTTAATATAATTTTTGGTCCTTTAAGTCTACCCTCATTTTAGTTTAGGTTCCTCAAATTTTTTTTCATTTAAGATATTGATTTCTATAATCCAATAAAGTTCTGGACTATTTTACCGGGACCAAAACCAAAATGAGAACAAACTTAAGAGATCAACGATTATATTAACTCTAATTAATTTATACAAGACTTCTCATAACATAATCACAACCAAATAACATAACATTAAACATTAAAACCTTGAACTAAATGAGTGAAAGTACATGAACCCATCTTTTGGATCCAACCTCTTAATATTGTTGTTAATGATCATGATATGATGGAATGAAAAATAAAAAAAGAATTACAATCAAGTTCCAAAAAAGAGAAATAATCACTAAAAATTTCAATAACAACTTGAACAGAGAATGACAATCTCTAGAATTTGTTTTATAATTTTTTTTTTCCTTATTTGAGATCTCATTATAATTCTCCCAAATATAAAAGCCTTGAACAAGAAATCTTAATTTGACACCAACCAAGAAGAATGATGAAATTGCCATATGTTGGAGAAGACCAGGGTTGAAGTTAGGGTGTGTTGGGTTAAAATAGGAACAATTCAATTGCCATTATTGTCACTGCGGGCCTTATAGAACTCTCATTGGTTGTCCTTTGGTCTTGCCAACCATTGAGTGTGAATCATAGCTAGTAATGATGAGTTGCATATTGATATTGAATAGGACATGAGGTTGAATGCGGGAAACGACAACACTGAAAGGGACAAAATGGGACGATAATTTTAGCGAATTAGCGACAATTAGATTCGAGAACATCAATTTCGACAATTTTTTTTCTCGTAAAATCAATTGAAAAGAAAATGTCAGAGAATTACGAATTCAGGAGTTTCAATTGTAAATAAGATATTAAATATAACTCTCAATTTATTATTTTTTTGCCATAAAAATATAACTCTCAATTTATTATTATTTTGCCATAAAAATATAACTCTCAATTTATAATTGAGATTCCTATTTACATTTGTTTAAATAGTAATTGCTAATTGCTTTTTAAAAAAAAAAATAAAGTTTTGTTAATATTGAAACTTTTTGGAACTTAATTATCATTTATCCGACAGTTTTAGTTGGTTAGGTTTCTCTTAGGAAAAACCACACCCCTAAGCGAGGAAAGGTTTTGCTCCTTTCAAAATGTCGACATTTGTTTTTTTCTTTTTGTTGCCCCTTCTCCTTTTGGTCTTATAATTATAAAGTTCCTATATGCTTTCTCCTTTCAATTCCTTTTCCGTAGGTCCATTTCCGTTGCTCCAAATGTAACAGGCTACTTGGAGCTTGTACACAAAAAAGCTGTGCATTTCTCTTATTTGACATAAAATTTAATTAGAAAATTGATATTGATTCTATATATAAGGCCTATTTTATATATTTATTAATTTTTTAAAATTAATCTTATTAGATTATTACTATTCTCTAACAATAATTAAGTAGGTGAGAGATGAAAGGAATTAAGAAAGATATTTTTGGTGTTTTAAAAAAACATATCATATTAACTAATTCGACTAATATTCTTAGTTTACTTAAATTAGTTAATTACATCTTATATAAGATTGGAACCCACAATTCTACTTCTAAAACAAACAACTCAAATTTACTTGCGACAAACATTTTTTGGTCTAATTTGGGTTGTGCTGCATCTTTACATGCATAAAACAAAAAATACTAATAGTGATTGAGTTAAATAAATAAAACTTTTTCTCCTAAACAATGTCGAGAATTCAGTCACTGTAAAGAAATTTAGATTATAAAATTTCATATAATAGTGCCGAATATCATATTAAAAAAAGAGACAATGTGATTTTAAATTATAAAAAGTTGAAAAATTTGGTAAAAAGTCTCTACTTAGAAAATTCATATTTGCCAAAGAGACGTGATGCAATTCTATTCAACGTTGCAAATCTTATTTAATTGTGTGTAACTTATTTTTAATTATGTGTAAAAAATGAAAGTCATTTGCATATAACTAAGATATGCTATACATACTTGAAGAAGAGTTACAATTATTGCCAAAGATAATTATAATAACTTAAATTTAGGTCTTTTTAGTTAATAAATTTCTCAGACAAAGACTTTTCATCAAATTTTTAAAAAAATTGGTTAGTAAAAATATAAGAAGGGGGTTTGAAATCTATCATTTATCATTTTATTTCATGTTAGATACTCCTTTAATTCTATTTATAAAATAACTAATTTAAAGATATTAAAAAATTAGTTAAGTTTATTATTTATTATAAAAGTATGTTGGTATTCCAAAATTATTTTATTCAATAATGTGCATTAGATGATTGAAATTATCTTTTAGTAGAAACCTCTTTTAATTGATAGAGATATTTTGAAGAAAGATATGAGATAAAGTGAATTAAAATCTTCTAACTAGTTCTTATATTAAATATCAGAAAAATATTAAAATACTAGTAAATAAGATCATCTAAGGCATAAAAATCATCAACGAGTGTTTTTTTAACTTGAATTGACCACTAATTTGCCAATTATTATCATTCATCCAAACACTACCTAAATTTCTCACCTAAAAGGCTAAAACAGCATAAGACTGACACGTGTAAATCTGGACCTATAATTATAGCCTGCAGTACATCATTTAACTTCCCCATCAACTATGTTTAAAATAATAAACTGATTCCAAAATCTATATAATCCCAAATCAAAATGTACTCGAGTCTCACGTGTAACAGTACTGATTCCAATAAGCTGAAGAGTTATATTTAATTGGTTTGAATAAATTAAAAGCGATTAAATAAATTAACTTATTATAATTAATATTATCTCAAATTCTAATTATAAGAGCTAGTTAACTAATTTGAGGAGATTAAGAAAAAAATTAAGTTAGTTGTTTGTAATAAATAGATGTTGTCTTTCCTAAAATATTTTTACTAATCAAGTATATTAATTCGAACTATCATTGTTAAAAGGATCACATTAGAAAAATATATAAATATGAGAGACAAAATGAATTGAGATTTTATATTTAGGACCAAAATAAAAAAAATCTTATATTAAGACAGGAGATAGAATAACAAAATCTTCTTGAAAATATTAGTACTATGTAAAATAATAATAAATATTAAAAATAAAATAAATTAAAATTTTATATTTAAAAATGATAGGATTATCAGTTACTGGTTGCATTCGGGCACGAATTGCGGTAACTCCTGAAGAGAGTGGAAGATCACTATTTTCATTTCTCTCTTTTTCATGATTGAGAAACTATTTTCTCAGATCACTTTCTGTGGTTTTTCGATCTCAACTTGCTGAAATCTCACAGTGTAAAGGACTTCAAATTCATCTTTCCTTTAATTTTTCTATCATGACGTCTCTTGGATTCTTCGAGCACAACTTCACTGGTCCTCCTTTTCAGCTCAGAAATTGAAGGAGTTTGTGTATAACAGAAAGAGAGAGAGAGGATTATGTACTGGTATTTGTAGATTCTACTCTCAGCTTTAGCTATTAAGCGCTTATTTTGCAGATTCTCTCTCTGTTTCCTCAAATTCTGGAGAATTCGTAGTGAACTTCCATACTTGGCTCGGACACAGTCTTATCCTCTCGCCGCATTTGAATCGGAACCGTGCCTGCCTCAGGTACACTTAATTAGTTCAGTAAATATGAATAGTAATGCGTTATCTTCTCGACGCGATACTTTCCCGGCTGGTCTTCGAGTTCTTGTCGTCGACGACGATTTGACATGGCTCAGGATTCTTGAGAAGATGCTGAAGAAGTGCTCTTACGAAGGTTTGTTAACTCTTTCCCTTTTCCTTCCTTACATCGCTTTTTTTTTTTCTTTCCCCATGTGCCATAAGTCTCTGCCCTGGTTGGATTTTATCTTTATGTTTATTTCTTTTACTTCTTTGTGAGTGAGGTATTTGTTAGAATAAGACTGCTTTGATGTTCATTCCACGCGGTTTTCCTGGGTTTTATGTATGTTAGTTAACTTAAGTTTTCACTTGTTAGAATCATGGTTTCTTAGTGAACGAAGCTTTCTTTCTTTCTTTCTTTGTTTTTTCCCTTGCAAGATGAAGAAATTGAATTGATCCTCGGGGTTGCGACAAATTGTGCGGTTAGGGTTCTCTGTCTCCGCAAGTCCATGTAATGTGGCGTCAAAAGAGATGTTTAGAAGTTTATTAATTATGCCGGGCAACATCGATTATTATATGGGGCAATTTGATGGGAAGGTAAGAGATGGCAATACGGGAAACAAGGGGCAAAAAAAAAAAAAAATCAAAATGCCGTTTGATTGATTGGCTGGGGATGGAAAGAGTCGCATAGACTTTGCTGAAGATGAAAAGAGAAAAATGTCTTTATATTAAGTAAAATAAAAAATTAACTTGAAATTCTTGATTATATCTTTTCAGAACAGTTATTTTTTTTAAAAAAAAAAGTTTGAGTCATTTAAAATAATTTAAAATTTAAAATTCCTTACCATAAATTTAGAACTATTTTTAACTAGTAATTTTTTGTTATGTCGATTACGAACTACTTTTTTAATATTTTCATGCAATTTTTAAAATATTTTTTGTTCCATATATGATTTGATCATTTGTTACAATTTATTTTTAGTTTTGTACTGTTAATGTTCCAAAGGTGCTTGTCGTACAACAAATATATGCCTTTAGTCAATTGTAGGCATCATCCCTTTCATTGTTGAATGTTGATTGAGATTGGAGTTTGATTATTTTGTTCATTTTCTTTGCTTCCCCTTTCTGGACTGCTACACTTTCGTGAGAGATGGCTATATCGTCTCTACGCTCTACAAAAGCAATACAATGCTATAACTATCCTCTTTTCTTCTATGAGTTGCCCACAAAATGTCTTGTATTTTCATGAAGTGAATTTTGGAAGGCAAGGACATCCCTTGTTGCTTTGCATGCTCTTTTTTTTTTTCGGTGATATGTATGCTCTGTTTTAATGTTGCCAATTTCTCATTTCATTTGGACACTATCCATTTTCTATAATGTTTTTCAGTGACCACATGCTGTTTAGCAAGAGAGGCTCTAAATTTGCTTCGTGAAAGGAAAGATGGATATGACATTGTGATCAGCGATGTAAATATGCCGGACATGGATGGTTTTAAACTTCTCGAGCATGTCGGGCTTGAAATGGATCTTCCTGTTATCAGTCAGTTCTCTGTCATTAACATACTCAACCTTTTCTTTAAATGAAAGTTCAAAGTTCATGCTCTGACAAAATATGTGATGCTGTGCAGTGATGTCTGTGGATGGAGAAACAAGAAGGGTGATGAAGGGCGTTCAGCATGGAGCATGTGATTATCTCCTCAAGCCCATAAGGATGAAAGAGCTGCGAAATATATGGCAGCATGTCTTCAGAAAAAGGATGCGCGAGGCAAGAGAATTTGGAAGTCTCAAGGGTTTTGAGGGCTTTCAGTTGGTGAGAAATGGAGCGGATCAATTTGATGAAGGGAACATATTTGCTATAGAAGATATGACCTCAACGAAGAAAAGGAAAAACCCAGATAGCAAACGAGATAACAAGGAATTTGGAGATCAATCTTCCACTAAGAAAGCCAGAGTAGTTTGGTCTGTGGATCTTCATCAGAAATTTGTCAAGGCTGTGAATCAGCTTGGACTTGACAGTAAGTTTTTAGTAAACTTCCCATACGAAGTGTGAATAATACTGATGACAATGATCAGCAAAATCTACTGTGACCTTTTCTGCCCCGCACACACAGGGCTGGGGGTGGTTTTTTGGGTTGTTTTTTTTTTTTTGGCCGAGGGGGTTGTTGAGGTTCTAGTTTGACCCCTTAATCAGCGTCTAATCTTTTTTCTTAATGTATTCGTTATATATATTGTTTCGCAGAAGTTGGTCCCAAGAAGATACTTGACTTGATGAATGTTCCATGGTTGACTCGGGATAATGTTGCTAGCCACTTGCAGGTAAAACTTGTGTTTTGATGTCGTTTCAGTGATGATACTCAGAGACTATAGCGAAAGATACTTATATTACGTTTTGGCTAAATAAAATATCCGGGTTCCATATTATTTTTGATCATTCATACGAATGTGATAATGTCTGGGATAGTGGTGATCACGGTACGCCAAGCATGTGGGAGGTTCCCATGTGATACTGTCGGATGTAACAACCTCTCCACTATTGACAATTATTAATATTTTACAGAAGCACCACCACTGAAAAAGCTGATCCTCTTTTCACCAAGAAAATAAATCAAGAAACGAGAAAAGAAAAATATGTTTTGTACCAAACAATGAATCTTGAAACTCGTGGGATCTCATTGAGGGAAAAATGTTTTGCAGAAATATCGGCTCTATTTGAGTAGGTTGCCGAAGGCTGGAGATCAAAACTCTTCCTCAAGTGGGACTCAGCATTCGGATACAGGAAGTTTCTCTTTTCAGAACCCAATAAACAAGCAGCAAAATGATGTCTCAATTGACGGCCATAAATATTCCGATGGAACGTTACAACTTCAGAATGTGGATGCGATAAGACATGAAAGTAATCTTAAGGGAATCACATCAGGGACTGCGATGGATAAAAGCACAGACTTGACTGCTAACACTCAAGATACAAATATAAGAAAGAGTGCACAGAAGATCAATGATCAGTCTTTTGCACCTCCAGACTCCGATGTAAGCCCCGCAGCATTAGAGTGTGCCAACCCTTGGAGGAAATTCCCAGAAATGCAACTCAAAAAACACCAGCCATATCTTCCAACGAAGGATCGCTTCAGGCACTTGCCATTACATGGAACAGAGCATCTCATCCAGGTTGATCAATCACAAGCAGATGCTTCAATCACATCCGACCGATCAGTAACAGAGAGAGAAACTGCTGCCTGTATTGAACCCAACCCTTTGTATGCTGATTACACGAGCGATTATGCCGGTTCTGTTAGTTCCATAGGAAGTGCTGGTGGCTTTTCTATGCAGTACAAGAGCTTTATGGGGAACGATCAATCATTAGAACCCGTTTCTGTTTCAAATTTTGCCAGGAAAACAGAAGGATTCAATCTTAATTCTGTTTCTGACCTGGAATTTCACCAACGAAACCTACTTTTAGGAGGTGAGTTCGCTTCTGCGCTTTTGGAGGAGGAGATGAAATCCTCTTGGCTACAAGGTGAACGCTGTATGAACTCAGGACCGCAGAATGTAGATATGCCGGCGTATAATGATCCAACGCTCACAGGGGAATTTCCATTTCATTTGTTTGACACAGCTGAATATTCAGCAGTAGATCAAGGCCTTTTCATAGCATGATCTGCACCTTCCCCTTTTGAGCCTATTAAAACAAATAATTCACCTCCTTGCGTGAAATGAATGACTACTATTGAAAGTTACTTTTGAGGATTGGGACATTTTTGTTTCCCTCTCAGCTAGGATTTGGCAAGTATATATAGAAGTGGGTGATGAAGATCCCCCATCTTCATTGTTTCGTAGCTGTTTACCAAGGCCTCTGCTATACATTTAGGAAAGCATTTAAGAATTAAATGTTGTTGCTTATCAAGGCCTGTACCCCTCCCAGAAGGTCATGTTCTTCACAATAAATTAATGCACCAAAATTTTTGAAGCTGTAATCATGATTTAATTGCAATTCAATATGACTATCAAGTGGTTTCTCCTTCATTTCCTTCTCATCGCAAGACAATAATAGCGAAAATGTCTTCATAACTCTATGAACAAGGAAAGAATCTTTATTCAAAGTCATTTTCTTTTTTCTTTTTGAAACTTATGAGCAAAGTCATTTCATCTTTATGGCATGTGAAATGATTATGCTAAAAGCTTCTTCAGGCCAAACATTAGATAATAAACCTGTCTATATTTCTATTCATATGACTATGTTACATCACACGAGAGGATGCAAATCTAAATGCCTTGTCGCCTTTACACTTTCAATTACAGAATGATCCTAGGTCAGAACTCATCAAAACTTATAGGTAACTATAAGAATACAACTTCCCAAATACCAACGGACAGGGACTAAAAGATCTTACTTCAAATTGGTGGAACTGGGAACATACCACCACAAAATCTCCTTTAATCATCCTTGCAGAATCAAATCATAAGCCCATTATAATCATTAAGAACTCAGGCTAATCAAAAGAGGATTGTGCCCATCACCTTTGACATGGTAATCTCCAAACACATGCTCGTATAAGAAAGTTTCTTTCCTTTTTTTTTTTTAATGCCATCAAGGCTGAATGTTTGGAGAAGCATTCTCTTGTCTGACCTTCTTCGATAGTGAAGTGACTGATCCCCTCATTGTTTGGTTCATTTTTTCTGTAACACGTTTAGGAGTACTAATACCGGTGAGAGGCTTCCAAGAGTTTCGAGAGTTTTTGGCATGGCATGTACTGGAAGTTGCTTTGCTTCCAGGTTTTGGTGACTGAGGCTGTGAAAGCAATCTCTGCAAACAACAAGTTAAAACAAAAAAATTAGAAACAGAACATCACCCAAATAAGAAGACAAATATGGATAAAATCATATATCTGTATTCGAAAACCTTTTTTTACAGATCAGGGAACCAGGATGATTGACACGGTCACAAAAACTTTTGCAACTGTACTAACAAAGTTGCTTGACCAAGAAAAAGTGTTTTCAATCATATATTCACTGCCTCCATGACACTTACTTGAGGAAAGTGGAAACATTAAAAGGATCCTTCAAAACCTTCACAGTTTTCAGTCCAAAATGCTTATGCAAGCAATGAACAAGGCGAAGTACCTTTTTCATCTCATTACTTGGCAAATGTAATTCACCATTCTTGTCCTCCTTTTGTTTGGGTTTAAAGCCACTGCACTGCTGCAACTTCTTGTGATCAAGCTCTGTTTTCTCCTGAAGGAAATCAAAATAAAAGATAGTGAGTGATTCATCAACCACACACAAGAAAGCCTGGATCCTGTTTATCAAATACTTGAAAGAGGAATGCCCTCAAAAGTCATTATCAGGAAGTCATGGGAATATACGCACAAGCACTCATTATTTAAAGGGTGCCATATTAACGTCATTGTTTTCTGCAATTTCTCTGCAGTCATTTCATGTTAAAATTCTTGACATTTTAATGGCTATATCAAAGTAGAAAGCCATTAATAAATTACTATGCATCACAGTAGAAACTACTAAATCATCCTATCAGCTATGGCATTCTAAAGAAGTCTACCTTGCACTTCCTTTGAGGCTGCATTCTTTCTACCTCCTTCAATTTGATTTCAGCCATCCTTTGAAAGAACTGGTACACAATAGGATAAGAAAGTAACATCACTAGTGTTAGCATAAATTGCAAAGATATTAACTAAGGGCCAAGGATAAGAACTTGCCTCTTTGCGTTTTGCTACTCTTCCTTCACTTCTGAATCGAAAAGGTGATGCTATGGTCGAAGATTGTGGACGCCTTGTGCTTGGTGATTTTGAGCATCTGTTTCCAAGTGACAACAAGAGAATCATTTTCCATGGAAATCCATAAAGTGCACAAACTTTGAACAGTGATGGCAACTTGGAAGATGAACTTACATAGCAGAAGGGGAGGACAGTTCAGCACTTGCAGTCACTCCTTTACACACTGACTTATTACGTAGTCTTTCAGTCCTGACATACATCCACCAGAACATGTGAAAAACTATTTATGCAATGCAATGGAAGCTCAATAGAGATTTTATTGGTAAATTAAAAAGTACATTCAGATAACAAAATACCTTGTACCCTCAGGCTGAGGATACTCTGAAGCTTGATTGAATATATCACGAATAGCCTGCAGTAAAAAGTAAAAAAATTGCAGCAATCCACACAATTTTCAAGTAACAGAAGCATTTTGTCAAAAAGGAGGTTAAGTGAATACCCTAACAGATGTCCGTGATGAAACTGGTTGATCTCTCGAAGCATTAGGAGAATTTAAATTGATCTTTTTTATTCTGTTCTGTTGCAGCACTGAGACCGTTTTGCTTGTTTCACCAGCACAAGAAGGAAGATTGATTGACGTGTGGAGTGACCATGTAGAGAGCCTCTTCTTTTCAGCCAAGCCTCTAACAGTTCCTTTGCTGTTTGGGACACTGCTCAGTCTACTTCTGGCTTGTCCTGTAGCCTTCCTCTCTGCAGGAGAATACAAGGGTTTGGATAATGTAGCTTTGGTTGACGATTTTGGAGAAGACTTTACTTCTCTTGCCTTAACTTTCCCTGGATTACCCTGAAGCAGCAGCAAGATGGATTTGCGAGGAGGCCACATTATTTAATCATAAAAGGAAATCAAACATAAACATAGAAAGAAAACCCAAAAAAACAAAAAAAGTACCGGATCACACAGTTTTTCTACTCTGGCGACTGCAACCTTCTCAAGATTATGACACTGGTTGGAATTATCGACTATGACAAAATTTTTCACTGTAGGAGTATCAGCTAGAGGTTGAGGCATATCCTTCGGTAATTCCACTTTGGAAATTTCTACTTCACTCTGCTGTATATCACGCTTATCTTCATTTGTATAAGCATAACTAACATCACATTTCTCATTCTGCTCAATGACAGTCATGTTACTGTTCTCTATTGAGTTCATCTGAACGGATGAGCTATTGCAGTTCCCATCCTGAGTTTCAGAATCAAAAGTTTCATTAGCCAATCCATCTGCTTCTTGGACCAAGGCTGCTGCTTTCTGAGCTGCCTTCTTCTTGTAATGAGCCTCAAAGTATGCTTTCTTCTCAGCAACAGAACCTGGTTTGGAGAATTTCTCAGCTTCTTCTACATGGCGATTGTGTGAGAAAACTGACCATTTCTCCCAATCTAGCCCCTCCGACATATATCTCCCAAAAGAGATCGATTCTCCAAGCAAACGAATGGGGTCTACCTGAAATTATGACAAATAAATGCATTCATATTAGTAAGACAAGTCTTCAAATTTTGGCACAGGCATGCTTCGTAGGAACAGGAACAGACAACCTTGACATCAAATACCATGTTTCTAGTTCCGATTTTGAACCAGAAGAAAGAAAGGTGAAGCAGGATCACTGAGGAAGAATGAAAATCTAAAATGTCGTAAAATCAGAATGAGCAAAGCAGTTACAGACATTCCAAGCTCTTGTTTCAGAGCAGTTTCTCATCAACCACACGCAAAACAGAGGCCGTTTCTCGGCAACCATACCAACCGAAAAATCCAAACCAAGCATTGAATCCAACACACGTCATTAACGGATTCATTATGCAAAAGGGAAAAGAAAACTACTCCAGATATTTGAGCATCAAGCCGAGAAATCAAGAAATTTCGAAATAAAGCTTGACGCCGGACTTACCTGTTTAGCCATGCAAGGCGAAATGTCAGTGTGGTTAGAGAAGGATCGAAGAAGACAAGTCGATTCAGCCATCGCTCTATAAAGACGAACACAAACTCAAAGAAACGAAGAATCCCTTTGGCTCTTATACTCACTCCTTCTAACCCAATATATTTGAAAGAAAAGAAACGAACTTTGCTTCTTGTTTTTCCCTGTTTTCTCTTTCACTCTTCACATATATATATATATATATATATATTCTCAGTCTCAATAATGAAAAACGACTCTCTCTGGATTTTTCATTCTTCTGAATCTAACCCTAACGAAATCACACAAAAGGCTCCTCTCTTTCTTTTCTTGGTTTTTCTTGAGTGGCCCACAAAGATTGAATCAGTGATAACAAGCTCGCTTTTTGCTCCAACGTCTAGTTTCTCACTCTCTTCATTATTATATTGCCTTCCTTTTTCTCCTGTTCTACTTCTATCCCTCTTTGTGGATGGGACCACGGGGGCTTCTGCACGACGAAAATCTCTGAGCATGAACAAATATATATATATATATATATAGAAGGAAAAATGTGGGAGATTTGTTGGTTAAAAATAATGCTTGTATCAAGTGGTTACTAAACGAATTTATATGCTAATATGTTAGAAAAACAAAAAAGTACTAATTTAGACAGGTTTGATTCTAATTTAGTTATAGATACTTGGTGGATATTTTACATGTGAATATGTGATATCTGATTTTGTTTTTCAAAAATTTAGACCTAATGTCTAATAAATTAAAAAAATAAAATATTCCCCACGAGTTTACAATTCTTATTATAACTATTTGGTTGATATTTGATATTCAACATGACGATTCAAATGAGATAATCAATTAAAGTATTTTTTTTATTCACAAAAATTGAACTCTTCAGCATGTTTAAGAGTTATATACTTTTTGTTTATATGACTTCGCTTTTGTTTCTGTTTTGCAATGCAGGAGAATTATTAAATTAATTTTCCATTAATGAATATCGAATGTTTTTTAGTTACCTTACGCGAACCATTTGCCCTTTGGTTATAGTTTACTAAAAAGAATAATTAATATTAATAAAATTCAAGATTATTTTAATCTATTAATTTTTTGTCACCTATATTCATCATTTATAATCTGGTTGTGTCAGAGAACACAAAACATTTGAGAAGCAATCTTTTTGTCTCTATAGTTTAACTATATCATAGCTCAATCTTTAATTTTTAACTAGTGCAACTCAATTAATTTTATCTTTAAACTTTAACTTGATGTAGTTCAGTTCTTATACTTTAACTATTTAAAACACTAATTTCAATATTTCAACAAACTAATTATGTACTCCTCTGATAATTATTGAGTTAGTTTTGATTCTAAATATAAGATTTATTTTTTATATTTATTAATTTTTTAAAATTATCTTTATTGATACTTCTTCAATCATAATCAAACAAACGAGAGAGAGAGGATATTAAGAAAAATGATTATAATGTTATAAAAAAGTATTTTATATTTCTAATAATTAACTAATTTACCTAACTTTCTTAATTTGATTAAATTAGTTAAATTGGTATTATATTAAGGAATGTGGGAGCATTTTATGAAATTTAGGAACTAAAGTTTTTAATAATTAAAATTACTGGCCTATCAAAAAAAAATTACTGGGGTTGAGTTTTACGAATTGAAGTTTAATGACTGAATTATAATCAAGTCAAAATTATAAAAATAAAATAATTCATTTAAAAAATAAACTAATTTCGAAACGGTACAGCTTCCTGCCGGAGAAGAAAGCCAAGAAACGTTGAGACACTGATTTAGCTTGATAGTTAATATAACGCCAAAACAAAAAAATCCGACATTTGCTAAGCACCAACATGTGATCATTAGCCGTAAAGACGGAGTCTTGAATAGGAGTGGGACTATCTGCATAATTTAGGAATCTTTAAACAATAGACTCACAGATTAAACTAACATAAATTATTTGAGTATAAACATAATGAGGGAAAAAAAAAAAAATCAGACTCACAAATTAGACTGTTTTTAACACTGCCAACCATTTTGTCAGTCATCACACACACTTAAACTCGTCGGAGGAATGAGGTGACTTTAAGCTGAAAGGATTTGTGAAGTTGGTTTCTGCTTGATGATAAAGTCCTCGCATTTCTCAAATAGCTAACACTTCAACACAATGAAGTCAGAAGCGTCCAATTATTCTCCCCTTTATGAGACATCATGCGGAAGCTAATATGAATATACTCTCAAATCCTCTCTACCACTTGACCTTCTCTCAATTAGGTTAAATATCTACATATTTGAATAAGCACTCAATTTAGTTCAATATCTACATGTTTAAACAAGCACTGATAACTTCAGGTTGTAGGCGACTGCACAATTAATTTAAATTTGGTCTTCTACGGCAACCCATGAAAGGAGAATATAAAACTCCTCCACAAGCATTTTCTACACGTAAACATATTTAAGCATTTTCTACACGCGCGCACACAGGCCGTCAATGGCGAACATCTGTCAAATATAATAGTCATTTTCCAATTCTCTGCTTTTATGTAAGAGGAACACTACCTGCCACTTCTCTTATCCAAGAACAGAACTTCAAGCTGGTTCCATACCACACAAGCTATTGTCATCCTATCTCATGATTTATTCTTACGATGAAGTACAAGTGGAAGAGAAACAGAAACAAGAAAAACCAGCTCAAGATTCCCCTTGACAAACCAATCTTATACTTTTAACATGATTCATTGATTTGGTTTTCTTCAAAACGGAGACCATTTGAAACATTTGGCACTTAAGGGACTGATTCTAACTTAAACTGCTCACTTAAGCAAAATATATACACAACTTTTTGAAACCAAAAACAAAAAGGAAAAAAAAAAGAAAGATTTACTGGACATGGATATCAAGGATCCTTGAAGAGGAAGAAGCCTTAGGCATGGTTATGTAAAGAACACCATCCTTAACCTCAGCCTTAATTTTCTCAAACGCAACATTCTCTGGCAAAACAATCCTACTGTTATACCTTCCATAGCTCTTGGCAGACCACACTTCCCCATCATCATCATCATCTTCTTCACCTTCGTCACCATTCTTCTTTCTTTCTTTCTCAGCCTTCACCACAAGCACCTTCTCCTCCACCCACACCTTCACGTCCTCCTTGGTCATCCCAGGCATATCAAATCTCATCTTGTACTCTTTCTCTCCTTCTTTCACCTCCCATGGCGTCCTTCCCCTCGGATAACCGCCTCGGTCGCTCACCGGCATCGGCCACTCCCCAGTGCTAAATGCAAATGGGTCCTCCATCATCCTCTCCATTGTCTCCATCATCTTCTGCACCGCCTTCGCCGTAGGAAATCGGTCCCACAGCTCTGCATTTAGTTATGATTCTGGTTTAGTTTTCCCGTCCAACATTATATTTACCCCAGGCTAAAGAATTATCCAGAAATCACAGAGAAAATCTTCGCACGCAATAAAATAGATGCTTCAGATATCACATCCTCTAATATGATAATCAACCCATTGCAATAGCCTGGTCTGGAAAATTGTAAAATCCCGGCCATGACTCAAAACCAAACAAGCTAAAAACCAAGAAACAAATAACATTCAGCCAAAAAAACTTAGTGCCAGATTTATCTTATAAAAACTACACAACATAGGACCAGCACGATAATAGAGCATTTCATGAAATATTTGAAGCAATTCAAAGCAACTCAAGACTAAAAACCATTGAAGTATTACTGCACACAACAGGACTACAGACCATTAGATCATGAAATATGATTATGATTATGCAAATTGAATGATGTCCTTGTATTTACACAATTTGTACGAGGAATTGAACTCATTAGTGGATTACCTACGGGCTGGGCAACTCTTCTCTTAAGGTGAGAGGGGTTCATGGGGGGTCTTCGAAGATGTTCAGGTTTGCCTCTGATATCCCCAGAGGCCATGACCTTAACGGGTTTGAATGAGCGAGGAACGTTCAAAGATCTTGATGATGAAGACAAAGCCCTGAAAGATGATGACGATGAGCCATATGGCGAGGGAAGACGAACTCCCAAAAGCGAGGATAAAGCCTGAGTCATATTCTACAATAAAGGAGTGACGATGACACCACCAAAGCCAGAAATAAGATTCGAAGAATGCAGTGATAATGTAAGATATAATAGAAAGGGAGATTGATTTGCAGGGCACGTAGCAGAGAGACAAACAAGGGTTTTGTGAAATGGAAACGAGAGAGAATAGAGGGTTCTGGAAAGCTCGACGTGGACCTGAGATTCTCACTTTCCAGATGGATCCAGAAATACCTTATCGTCGAGATTAGAGGGCCCTCCCCCTATAGACTCGTACTAACCGCAGGTTGGTTTGTGTCCGGATTTTGTTAGGGTTTATGGTATTGCCTCAAACTTTTTTTTCTTTTTTTTTTACCAGCAATGGTATTTCCTCAAACTAATCTCGAATTTCTGATTGATGTACATGAACAAAAATTTGTGGGGTTTCGTAAGGTTCGGCTTGGATAGGCAAGGATATTGAACAGTTTTGTTGACGGGTCAAACAAAGGGCTGAAGAATCGTTGCCCAAAACACCAAAGGCTGAATTGCATGGGATAATTCTCCAATTTTCATACGTACAACACCAGTAAGAAAACACGTGGGCACCACCCAAAAGAATCTCGATATTTTTTTCCCTAACAAAAAGAATCCGGATTTATTTTGGACGGATATTGTTTTATTTTACTTTTTTTTTTAACCTTGACTCATGTTATTTTACTGAAAACATTAACTTCATCAAGCGTGACATTTCATTGATTGCACAATAAAATTTTCCAGAGAAAGTTACCCATGCGTCCAAAATAAAAGGTTAAATACAAAAAAAACCTCACCAAAAAATCAATATTTACAAGTTAAACCTACATATTTATAAGTCAAATTTAACAATTTATGTATACAAACTAAACTGCTTATTATATTAAGTGCTTTTAAGCATGTCTAAATTAGTCAAGATAAAACTCTCCTCGTATACTTATTTCAGAGTAAATCATAATTCAAAAGCTACTTTTAAAAAATTCTACTATCATTCCAAACAAACACTAAAAAATTAAATTGCATAAGGCTTCTCCTTATTTAATTTGCATATGACCCATCAATAACTGTTCTAAAATTTTACATAGACTTTACTTATTGTGAAGAAAAGTTTTGCATGATAATATTATCGGATGTGTATACTCTAGATTCTACTGAACAAAAATTCCAAAACATGGTCAGGTTCATAATAAAGTCTTTAAATAAAATTGTGAAAAAACAAAAGGCATGGAATTTTAAAAGTCGGTAGTTTTGTGCAAGAGTTCCTCCAACCATAGATTCTCTGATCAGCATTATGAAGTTGTTGCTCGTAGAGCAGACTTGTTGGGCATGGCAGCTTCTCAGTGAAGCAATCTATACATAGATGAGGTGAAGCTTTACGATCCCGGAGGAAGCCAATGGCTACAGATAACAAGTCAAGCAAATTGTTTCCAGCTATGCCTTCATCCTTTAACCCTGGAAATTGAAACAACAGTCACTTAAACTCTCAGATAAATCAATATTTCAAGATACGTGATATATGATGGGAATAAGCACTTGTATTATTCAAAAACTATTTATAGCTTAGCTCATTTTAAATTTCATGCAAGTACTCCCTTCAATACACGAGACAAAGTCACTTCAACTTACTCTGGTTAGCTCATAATATAAGTCATTTTAACTAATTAATTAGAATTAAGAAGTTGTAGTTAACTCATTAAATCTGTCTCAAATTGAATTTTTTCCCACTTTACCCCTATTAAATGAGGTTGCGAAGGAGAGAAAATATGAGGAGTCACGTTTAAGCATTAAGTGTAGAGGCAAAATTGAAAAATAAGTATTAATTACTCTAAGTGGCTTATATTGTGGACAAAATTTTTTTTGTTTTTTGGTAGAAGTGACTTGTATTATCAATGGAAAGGAGTAGAGCCCAGAACATAGTTGCCATTAAATGATGGAATTTCTCAAAATTGAAAGGGAATCAAAAGTTCCCTCCTAATAAACACAGATATTCAGGTATCATATAGGGTATATGCATGCATTGATCAAGCAACCAAAGAGTAGGACCCAGATGTCCAATGATGAAGATCCTTACGATCACATGAACATGCAACATATGGTAAGTATGAATGTCCCTCCACTCTTGCAAACTGCGAGAAACAAGTCATATGGGCTCAATTAACACAAACTTACTGAGCTTTCTCTGCTGTATCTTCTTCCTTTGATTCCTCAGTCGTTGTAGAATTCAATGCTGTTATCTTTCCGAAGGACTCCTTTGCATCTCCAAAAAAGTCTTTCACTTTATCAAGTACAGTTTTAAGCTTATCTTTTGTTGGAAGCTTCAAATTGGAAATGCAAGCACATCAGAACACTAGGGGGAAATAATATCATAAAATGATATCTAACTATAGAGTAAGCATTTTCAAATGTGTATGCACAAAACTAAGGTTTAAAGATAGAAATTTCTGTGATGATGAATCAATGAACGTGATCATTTTCCTGTAAATTCATCACCTGGGGAAAAAAAATATTAGCCAGCAACATTCTTCTTTGTCAAGTTCGTTAAATTACCCCTCTCAGATAGAGGATCGATGGGTACTCTGTTGATTACTTATTCGATGAGGGTGATGAAAAAGTGTACCAGAGTTAGAAACAACATGAAAATCTGAGGAATGTTACCTCAATAACATCTGAAGAAGAAATAGCAGCTCTAACATTGCCATTTTCCTGAAAATTTATTGCATGAAAAACTAACATAAATAAACAGGTCTCTTGGTTCTCACATTGGTAAAGGCAAACATCTCAACTGCTTAAATTATTAAATATGAAATATAGTAAAATGCTTTGAAAGCATTACAATTAGTTTGTAGCCATATCTGAAATCAGTAGCATTGCGCAGGACTCGGTGCTGCTTGAATGCAGTTTTCTGTATTTCCTTTTCATCCTATTTGAATTTTAGCAAGCAGTCAGTAAGATAGAGGCAATCATAAGCAATAAAGCATCATGCTGATTTTATAAGATCTCAAATAAGAATCAGCCCTGCACCACAATAACTTTCAAATGAAATTGTAAGTAAACAAACTAATGTATCTTCTGCCAATTGATTGGCAAAATGTTTACTAAACGAGTCATGAATGAAGATTGTTACTGAAAATCCATGCCTTCCGTGCCCATAATAGACGCTTCTTGAGCCAATGCAAGAGGAGGAGTCCCAAAAAAAGGTACAGCCAACCAAAACATATGGCACGTAGTGCATATGAATGTGAGAATTGGACCAAGAGTACATATTTAGCAGCATAACAACTATACAATGAAATTCAAAATGTCACGTAATTCGTACATTTCTCCAATTCAGCAATAAGTTTCACTGAACAAGTCCAGGCATGGAGATTGATGTGACAAACTGAAAAATCCATTTCTTCTATGTTCATATATAGGTGACGCTTAAGATAATGCAAGAAGGCTTCTCTTTAAGTATAAGATAATAAAGCCCAACAAGTGACAGAAATAACCAGTTTCATGGCACCAATGAATTCAACCTTCTGAAGTTTTCAAGTCAAAATTAATAATACCGTTTAAAAAACATATATATCAGACAAAATGAGAAAGGACCTACCCGGTAAATAACTGCTGCTAGATTCCTATCAAGGGTATCTTTGTAAATGTATTTCCCCAAAAAATTATCTTTCGCAGCAACCATGATTTTAGCAGTGGTTCCACCAGTCACTATACTAAGAGGGTACCAAAGATATACCTGTGGAGGACCATAAATTAGATTGCACTCCATCAATGTAAAAGAGAGCTTGCAGAAATAAAATCACAATTTCATCAGAAGCTGAAATAAAGCCCTGATCGGATGCCATAAGATAGATCAAGCATAAACCCAAGGGTTATAATAATCAAGTCGACACTGCTCTTGCTAGCAGAAATGCATTATACAGATTGACTGGCTTCTCCTGTTTGCAATGCATCTGACGGAAAAGAAATAAGCAGCGACTGATGATTCAGTAAAAGCCACAATCATATGGCAACGATTTTACCGAGAATGAAACAAGAAGATCCATATGCTCAGCAGAAGATTCAAGTAATGCAGTTTAATTGCTTTAGGACTTATACAAGAGGATGGTTTGGTGGGTTGAGAAACATATCCAATCCATATGTGCTAAGGTAACGCAATTTTTAAACCTTTCCAAATTGACGAATTTGGGATTATTTGTTTTTTTTTTTTTTTTAATCTTTTCATAATCGTTCTATTTTTACTTTTGGGTTACCGGTGAAGTTAATATTGAGAATTTCATCCTTCAATCACAAGTTAATCACATGCCATTCTTCCAACCTTCAATCAATGGAGTGACAATCCCTTGCCACTCCATACCACATCATCATATTGTCTTCAGAACACCCAAACAAGACCTTAAGCTTATATTAGAACTTGCCAATCAGGCAATAAGCTCAGGTAGTCGGGAAAACTTCATATTCCCGCCACCTCTAGTTGAGAAAACTAGAAAAAAATAAATCGATTCCCCGCTCCAACAGAATTTTCTCATAAACTAAACAGAAGAAGCAAGGGAACCGAGAAAAAAACAGATAGGGCAGGCAAATTGAAAGAGAACGAACATTGGCCATGCGAATGAAGATAACAAATTTAGGGTTGCCATCGTCCTCAATCTTGGGCAAGGGAGGAGGAGGAGGGCGCTGATACTGACGTGCCATCATCCCCTTCTTGCCCTTCGCTTCAACCACCAGCATACTGCGGCGACACCGCTGCGGAGGGCCGTGGATAGTCGGAGCGGAAAACAGTGAATGCCTGACCAAAGCGTCATCGTTTAACCTGGAAGTCGAAGGAGGAAGACGAACAAGCGCATTCAAAGACATAGTGGCTTCCATAATTTCTTGAGATTTTGCAGAATTCTGTTCTCACTACAATTCGGCTACACGAAGCCGATGTGGATTAGCGTAAAGGGTAAAAGTAAGGACAAAAGTTGAAGGAGTTCTTATCCACAAGCTCCACGACCACTTGCAGTAGGAAGAATAGAGAGAGAGGGGGATTAAGGAAGTGCGTGATGCCGTGATGGAGAGAGAGGGAGGGAGGGAGGGCGCTGGTCGTCTTACACGTGGCAGATGGACAGGCAGGAGAAATTCTTGGTCGTTTATAGTCCACGGGAGATCTCGGTTCCGTCATTAATCTGCTAATTGAAAGCAGGGGAATCATATTTGGACTAATCTATTAATTCAATTGTTCTTTTTGCTCTTAATGTAAAACTCAATTAACTAATTTGAGATAATTAAAAATATTAGTTAAATCAGTTTATATAATATGTGTTTTTTAAAATACTCTTACCCTCCTACTTAATAGTTAATTTTAAAAAAATTAATACACATGTGAAATATGTCTTATATATAAGACCTATATCAACTTCTCAATTATATGTTAAGGATAAGAAAAGTATAGTTTAAGAATTAAAAAATTTCAAAATTATAATAAATGATAAAGATTTAGTAAGATGTATTAAATCCGGAAAAAACCAATATGGATTAGAGAAAATTGTTTAAATAATTTTTTTTAAAAATTCTTCATGTTAAAAATTTAAAAAAATAGTTATGAATTATCATATAATTAGCAATAAATTATAGGGAGAAGCAATGTCAGGTTTGAAAGAGGCGATTAATGATGGTTAGATTCTTGAAATTTGTTTTTTTTTCGGTAAAAAAAAAGCTGCAAATAACAATTTAAAAATATATAAATTCATAAGCTTCAAAGATAAATTAAGCATTTAGTTTCGAGTATAACAATCAATTTGGAACTGAAATTCATGTTACATTTTTTGGAATTGATATTTGCAATTCATTTTAAAAGAATTTTGGGATTTAATTGTCACTAATCCCCTCTTTTAACACTTAAATGTAATTTTCCCTATATTATGAGACGTAACCCTGCCACTCCAAACAGCTGCCAATATCAATTATGCTTCATTTTCTTTGGGACCAAAATTAGAGGTTAGATTTAAGCCATGCAAGCTTTGCTTATGATATCTCTTTATAGATGTAGAACTACTTGCGCTTTAAAATTTTTACAATAATCAAAGTTGAGTTCTCCCCCTCCCCCCAATCTTTTAGAGCGTGTTTGGTATGAGAGATATGGAGGGAGGGGAGGGAGGAAAAATGATTTTAATTATTTTTTTTATTTGGCAACATACAAATTTTAAGAAGGGAGGGAAAATTTTAAAAAATTTTCATTCACTTCTCCTTTTCAACCTCTCTTCCAAGATTATGAGAATTTAGAAGAAAAGGGTAATATTTTTTAAGTTGTGACTATTATGCCCATATTTTATCGTGTGATGACTATTATGCCCATATCTTAAATAAAATAATAGCAAAATTATCCATGTCAATATATTTTTCTCTCCCCTCTCCTCATGAATCAAGCAAGGTAACATTAAAACTTCTCTCCTCTCCTCCCCTCTTTTTTTTTTATAAATCCAAACAAGGTAATATTAAAATCCTTTTACTCTCCGCTCCTCCCCTTCCTTCTATTAAAATCCCTCCCCTCCTCTTATTCTCATTGAACCAAGCAGATCCTTAGAGCAACTCACCTATCCACTATATTTATAAAGAACCAAACTCATAACCTCGTGTTTGAAAAAAATGTGAAGGAGCATTTGCTGTCGCTCGGTTAGGATATCCTAACAATTAGTTGAGCTTTCGACACTAGAATTTTTACTTAAAGAATGCCCCCTATTTCAATCAATATTTTAAGTGTTAAGATAAAAATTCACTCTAAAAATTTTCACTCAAAAACTGAAAAGTTCTTTTTGGGTACAAATTTATCCAAAAGTTTAAATCCTCATTGTAAAAATGTTAATGGTGATTAATGTCACAATTTGAATGGTCAACATTAGTTTTTTAATAGAAAAAAATAAAATTATTACCATTTTAAGCTTTCATGATAAATATGCACTTAAAATTTTTTTTCCGTGCCTAAAACTTTGAAGATAAATTTATATCTTATCCCATATTTCAATAAGGTCTTTTTATTTTTGGTGATATTTAATATGGTCATTATATCAGCAACAAAACTCAAACTTCTTTCGGGAGGAAAAAATTCAAACTTCTGCTCTATAAATCAGATTTTAATGAATCAGACCAATTTTCAATGACGCCCACACACACACACACACAAACAGACAAACTTATCTCATGTCAATTTGTTGACAAAAGCGACGACACGTTACAAAAGGCCACAGATCACAACGCCGTCTTACATTATACTCTCCAAATCCGTAACATAAAACTTATTTAACTAATTTGATTAGATTAAAAAAGTTAAGATAAATTAGTTAATTATACTACTTCCGGTCTTTAATATAAGACCTTGTTTGACTTTTATTTTGATCATAAATATAAAACTCCAATTCATTTTGTCTTTAATATTTATGCATTTTTTTTCAAAATAGTCCTTCTAACAATAATAGTTCTAGCCAATACACTTGATTAGCAAAGATATTTTAGAAAAGATAACACCTATTTATGACAAATAACTAACTTAATTTCTTTCCTTAATCTCTTCAAATTAGTCAACTAGCTCTTATAATTACAACCGAAAGTAGTAAGAAATATGACATGTTTTTCCTAAAATACCATAATCATCTTCCTCAATATCTTCCTTTCCTAGTAGAAGATTATAGTTGACAGAGCATCTATAGGAATAATTTAAAAAAAATTGATAAATATAAAAAATATGTCTTATATTTAAGATCAAAATCAACTCAATAATTAAGCCTTATATTAAGAACCCAAAGAGTATTATTTTATTGTAAGAAATCATAGTTTGACAGATAATTCATTTGGATTTTCCACGTCACCCCCAGATTTCAATTCTCAGTCTTTCAATTTATTTTACACCAATAAAATTAGTTTACCTATTTTTACCATCATATCGGCAATTTCAACATAATTATCATCATTCTTGTACCAGATATAGTTGAGTACAATATTTTGAAAACCACACAAGAGGAGAGGCTTAAAATTCTTTTGAACCAAACAAGGCGAAAGGGTGAATTTCCCTCCCCTTCCCTCCCCTCCTGAAAACCCTAAACCATACAGGAGGTAAGAATAACTTGGCCTTTTTCAGTAAACTACAGAATCCTTGCGGTGCATTCCAAGTGCTAACCCAGGAAGTTTGAAAAGTTTATTGATCATTTTGTTCAAAGTAAACTCAAACTAGTGATTAATGCAAAGTGAACTCAGAGAGTGATTAATGCTAATTGTAGCTGCCAGCACCTTTATGGTGCAGTGGCACAAAGGGTGCCTTACGGTGGCACTTCCCATGGGATCGAATCCGTACCTGCAAGCAATAGCTTGCCAAACAGAGAAGAAAATGCTGAGTTTAGTTGGATCCCTTCTCTAACAGAAAAAGTTAAAAAATTAACTAGCCAAATATTTTGAACTGATCAAATTACAGAAGGAAAGCAAATTCTACATTGATTAATGAATGAAATGTCATTGTAATAATACATACACGTGAAACCAGATTAAATAATGCAATATTAGAACAAGAAGTCTGAGCAAGTAAAATACCTCAGAACTATATCTGCTTCTCCCTAATAACCCCATTGGTATATGAATGGGATAAGCCAAAATTCAAAACCAACTAGCCAATTCCCTGCATTGCATAATGTACTTTGTCTCCCATAAGCATCCATTCAAATCTCAGAAACTTAAAACTTACAGGTACAAACAGCAAAGAAAATCAGCAACTACCAGATGAGAATCTAACCTCCTGAAGCACATGAACCATTAATGCCAGCATGCCAGCCAGAAAAATAAGAGAATAAGAAACCACGGAACTTGTTTCTTTTAAGATGTTTGGGTGGCTGTAGCTGTAGGGACAAGGATAGCCTCACTACTAGCAGATTTTGTAGCAGCAATCTCTTCTAATCGCTTCCACATGGCTTCGTGTTTTGTTTTCCCCTCTTCTAATTTTGCTTCTTCCTCTTGAAACTTATGCAAGCACTCTTCAAAGAACTCAGGATCGACATCAGAGAAAATCTTGCGAACATTTAGTGTCAGGTTCTGGACGCCCTGACTCCAGTGGGCACGTCCGCTTTTCTCCAAGGCAGGGAAGATAATAGGCAGGATTACTTTCCGGTTTTGTCGAATTAAATTCTCAATGTGCTCATTGTTCCACAAATACAGGGCTCTCTCTGCAACCTGGAAGAGAAAGAATCCAGTCATTATTCTGTCAGATGGAGAACATCTTGAGTATGAGCTAGCCATATCATGGTGTGCATTTTAAGAGATAATCTCTAATTTAGAAAATGAGACTTAACTGTAAATATATGGCAAACTAAATGGGAATATAACTACTAAATCCATTGCAGAGCCATTAGCATTCGCTTGGAAACAGCATAGAGTGCTTCCTTCTATTAGTGAGTTTAGCTGTTTGCCTATAAAGGAAACATCATAACAACGGAATTAACTACACCATTGAGCTGGACCAGCCTACTTTCTTCCTAAGTAATTCATATAAGGACGATGATTCTCCTTGTATCATTGGCTGATGTCACTCAACTTTTAAATAAATAGTTGAAATTGTAACAAACAAAATTTTGCAGATTAATCATTAAAAAGAATAGCAAATGAAATGTGACTCGTACAATTTCCACATAGCGAGTTGCAAAGGAAGAAAATCATAATAATATTCATTACGCACTCAAAAATAGGAATATCACAAGTTGCTAACATCCGATTAAAGGCTCAACCCAGTGGGAAAATGAACCAATGGAGGTCACTGCTATTACCAAAGCAGGAGGTAGGTTGTCAGTTTGATCGGATGACAGAAAGATTATGCCAGCATTAGCACAAACACCACATCGGTAATAAAATTGGTTGGTCATTGGATCAGCCAGTTTCTGGACATTGACCAAACTGAACTGAGCCAATCAGATCATCCAAGTATTGGATCTATTTTTATCAAAAATACAGAATTCTTACATGATTTGGTCAAGGAGTAATCGATATTTTGTCAAACATTCATGCATCATTAGGAAAACATTGCAATATGCATCTTTGTATAATTTTCTTATGAACAGATATATACATAGTATAGAAGTCCACAATTTTTTGTTCAATTTGATTTCATATATGCAAATAAATATATATTATATTTCTAATTTATAATACCGTTTTGGTGCAGCTCATTAATAAACAAACTGTGCCTAACCACAATTTTTGGTCTAATTAAAGCTTGGGCTTGTTCAATTTTGTATAAACAAAGCTTGATTGTGCTAATGGTCATCTTGGTTAGCACAAACAAGCCGTTAAAATTGGTTAAGTTGTACTCCACTGAGCGGTGTGGGAAAGGAAAAGGCACCAATTGGGCATGATTAGGATTCTAGTGATGTCAGTAATGGCAATGTCAAGGTATTTAAAGGAAGATAAAGAAGAACTAAAGAACCAAATAAAGGAAAATTTTGAAAATGATAAGGCAGAGGTTGATGGGAACTGGTTATGTTGGAGAATATGGGTGGAGACATTGTGATGTGAGGAGGAAGAAGGTGATGGAGGGATTGACATTTTTCAGTACTACCCTCAAGAAGGAAGATAAGGGAAGGGTAAAATAGGTATTTAAAAAATAGGAAGGCTATTTTAGTAGTTTCTCATAACTAAATTAGAGTTGATGTCCAATTCAGACGATTAGGAGTTTATTGCAATTGGATTGAAAAATTTGGGATAGAATTTCAAATTTTTTAGATTAGATGCGATAATGCAATTGAAAATAAAGATATGAATAGGTCAATGTATTTTCCCCGAAGAACAATATAAAGGGATTGCGTCTCTTTTTTCTTCTGTGTTTTTTTTTCCCAATAAGACTTAAATGATGCATGTTGATTATGTTGGGGTTCTGATGACTTTTAACCGGTTTTTCTTTCAAGAAAAAGACAAAGACACTTGTACTTGATAGAATTTGAACATGGTGTAGAACCAGTAGGGGAAAGGGGAAGAAATAGGGAGAAATAGAGAGAAAAGGAAAGAGAGGGCAAAGGATAACTGTTAACAACCAAACATGCAGATACGTGATTAAAACAAGAAAGCAAATCATAATAAAGATGATCCCAAATTTTAAGTTTTAATGGAAGGCATGATCCCCAGTGATCTTGAACAAGTAGTAAGCCTTAGAATGTAAATTAGGATATCTACTAACTAATACTCCCTCCGATCCAAAATTTAAGTCCGTTTTACCTAACTGCACAGAGACTAAGGAAGGAAATTAAAAGGAAGTTAAGTCATTAGATGTCAAAAAGTTATAGCACTTTCCAAAATTACCCTTCTTAGGGAGAAGGGCAAATTAGGAAAAAGAAAGAAATTAACACCCAATATTATCAACCAAACTTATATTTTGGACCAGAAAAAGCTTAGAGAAAAAGGATTTATATTTTTGACCAAAAGGAGTACTATCAACACTTAAAGTATCAATATACCAACCAGTTAAGATTCCTCAAAGCCAGGACCAACCATTTTAAATTAATGAATCCAAACTTCTAATTTCATTTTTCGTTTTCTAGACTCACCCTCACTCTGTAGCATTCTCGAAAATAGAATAATCATATGATATATAACTAAAAATTATCACTACTACATGTGACCTATTTTATTTTTAAAACTGAAAATGTAATCTTAAGGTTATTTTATATTATAACTAGATCCAAACATACAGGGGTTGGTCTGCGTCAAGTTAGGAAAAGATAAAAGTAGTTTTCTAGCAATTTTTATGTCCTTTCAGAAGGTGGTTTGCGTCTAGTCATTTAAAACTGTGACAACAATAAAAGCATTATTAAAGACAGCAGCTAGTATCATAAAGCTTGTGTTTCAAATTTTTGTACGTTACGATTTTCCAGTTAAATCAAACTGGCTGTGATAGAATTTCCACACACGATGCATGATTAAAATCTAAATATTACATTACTCCCACAAAGTGATCTCAGTGCTACCACTACCCACTTCAAGCATAACACATCGTCTAGCAAGCAAATCCAGATAAGGTCATGTAGAGAAAATGAGAAAGGATATGGCAGCATCATGATATGGTGGACTTGCTGAATTAGCTTGTTCCTTTCCTTATCAATTGGAAACGTGAATATGTTCAAGAGATAACAACTAGCAGTGACAAGAAAGCAAACAGCTTTCTGTAAACTTCAGCTGTGTGATAACATATTATGTTACCTGAAAGTGTGAGCTACTCAAGCAACGGGCGATTTGGCGGAATAAGGGTACCATGCATCTTTGGAATTCTACAAGCTGAGTCGCCTCCAGTATTTCCTCAAGCTCACCAAGGAACATGACTTCCTTTGAACTATTAGTGATAGGCCAGTACTTCAGCAAACCCCTAATCACAGTGTCAGCAAGCTTGCTGTCTTTTTCCACAAACTGCGTGATACAGTATGACAACTGCTGATGGTACATAGCTAAGCACTTTGGCTTGTGAAGAGGGATTAAAGCACGGACAAGAAACAATTTGTGCTCTTCCTTTAGTGGCAGAGCAAACCCATTAATTATACTTCCCAGTACCTCTAGAAGCTCAGCTATCCCATTAAATTTCTCCGTTTCAAAAATAAAACGGAAGAAGATATTATTAATAGATTTCCTAATAAATGGGCGATGCACCATAAACTTCCCATAAATCCGATGCAGGATTGTTTTCAGATACTCCCTCTCTCTTGGGTCCTCAGAATCAAAGAGATCCAACAATCTGAGAACAAAAGAGTGATCTATGTACCTCTTTGCTAGCTTTGCATCTGTTTCTGGGGATGCAACAAACCTAAGAAAAAATTCATACACAATCTGTAAGTGAGACCAAGCAGGGTCCATCAGAGGTTCCTCATCTTCCAGATCAAAGGCTTCAGAAACCTTGTTCTCACGGGGCTGCACATTAGGCGATCTGAACAAATTTACAGATACCATCTTGATAATCTCTTGCATGACAGTTTCATTAAATTTGGCATTTACAGAGGTAACATATTCCACCAGCTCAAGCAATGTCTGTCTTTTGATTTCCTTTTCTTTCATATGCTTTGAGGAGTCAGTGAAGTCAAACACTACACTGCACATATTCAGTTTTTTGATGAATAAGTTTTGCTTTTCAGAGTTTGGGACATCCCTAAACCCTGGCAATGCTTCGTAAGGAGTAATTACCACACTACCATTCACTCGTGAGTTTGCAATTGAAGGGACATTACTTCCTTGACCATATGCTGAACTGGGAGCAGCTTCTGAGCCAGGAAGAAACGTAATATTTGAACTCACTGGTCCACTACTCACAACATCAGCAGCTCTAGAACCAGTAGTTTGGAGCAACGAGGCCGATGATGAACCAGCAAATTCACGATGGTCAGCTGACTTAGATGGCTTCCTTGGAAGCTTACCAAGTATCTGTTTTATCATAATTTCAAATCTAACGCAACTCAGCTATTTGTAACCTTCAGTGCAGGACCCAATGGAAGAAAAGCACCCTATAAAGTCACAATCGGAGAAACTAAACCCACAAGAAAAACAAAAACACCACATAAAGTCAACAGATGAACCGAAAGGGCATCACAAACTAAATACAAGAGTAAGGCACCATCGAGAAGCATTGACAAAAACATCAAAGCAGAAGAACCACTTGTTCAGGAAAAAATAACCCTCACAAAAATTGAGGCATCCCCTCTCATATCAGGATAAATCAAGCACCGAAATTTTAGCTCTTCAACCCTGAACTCATAAGCGAATAAGCAGAAGCCAAGCACACCAAGCCGATAATGGCCGTAATTTTTACAATAACACTTTATGCTTAATCATTTATAAAAAGAGGGTGGAAAGTGTGATTTCTTACCTCTTCGCATTCTTCCTCTTCAACCCTTTAGATTAATGGTTCAGTGACAAAACGATCTGCGAGAGATCCAAAACAATAAGCAGTATTTTTCTTCACTAACATGGTATGGGACAAAGGCGTTCGAGAAAAAGTGAAAAAATATAATAGTAAGAACATGGTAAGTAAGAGGCAAAAGCGAAAAATGTAGAAGATAGAAGAATCCCAGGTGAAAATTGAAAAGACGAATCTTTCTGATTCTTGCTCAAGCAAGGATTTCTCAAGCTAGAGGAAGGAAGATATATCATCTAAAAATAAAAAAAGCTGAGCAAGAAAGGCGAGATATTCCCTTTATATTTATTTATTTATTTCGATGTAAATTGCCTGGTAGGGAAAGGGGAAGTGAAATGGAAGCTATAAGAAATAATGGCGACGATAATGGATAAATATTTTTGAAAGGGAAAACTGGGGAATAAATTTGATTGATTCATTTATCCACGCTCAGTTCTGTTTTTCATCATGTGGGCATCATCTTGATGTTGATTTTTAGGGGATGGTGTCAGATTTTCTTAGCTGTTACCACTGCCTTTGATATAAGAAAGACATGATTTACTAATTTAAATTTTTTTAAAAAAATTACTAAATTATTTAATTATAATATATATTATATTTTTTAAAACATTTATATGTATCATTAAATTATATATCAATTTATAAGTAAGATAAATTAGTTTTAATAAAAATAATAAGCATATTTTAAAATAATTTAGTAACTTTTATTATTTCTTTATATTATTTAATTAGATTTTATATTAAAAGTTAGAAGTAATATTAAGATTTTTTTATTTCACGGAAAATATGAGAAAAGTAAAAGTTTAATACTAAAATTTTATGCAAACTTTTCTTAATTTTATAAAATATATTTTCAGCCATATAATTCTAATGCCATTAGTCTCTAATGATAATTTTTTTAGTAATAATAATAATTTTTTAAAATTAAACTTTATATATCAGTATTTTTTTAAAAAAAATATTTTATCAATCAGAAAAGCCCAAAAAAAAAAACACGCACTAATAACCAAGACCAAAGCACAAACTCTCAAAACACCTCACAAACTAAACAACAAATGACGGTCCTAAGAATTTTTTTCAAGGTTTAAAATTTCAATGTCATTATTTTTTTTAACTATATTAGTATTAGAGACCCAAAAAATATTTTATAAAATTAAGATGCTAAACTGAAATTTTGTGTAAAATTAAAATTTTGAGATGTGCTTTTGTCAAAATAAATTGCAAAAAGAAAAGGAAGAAAATTTTATTATATTTAAAAATTGGTAGTTGAAAATGTGCTTTTATTTTGATTTATTCCAATTTATTTTTTGCCAGATGATTCATTTGATTTTAAACTCATGAGACGCTAGCAATGTTAAAATTGATCTTACAATACTCTATTTAAAAAATAACTTTAATTGATACATAAAATCAATCTTAATTCATTCATTTAAATAAAGAAAACTCAAATGAATAAACCTCCTAGATTAGACACGCTGCCAATAAGATCAATATGACAGATAAGCTATAATTGTGCACAAAATTTCGTATTAGTATAAATTTCTTAGAGGGATGAGAATTTAGCCATGGAAATATATATTTAGGGAAATTGCTGGAAATATTTATTGTTATAAGATATCTGAAATTTGTTTAAGAACTCAAGTTTTTAAACGGGCATAAATCTCTCAGTAACGTATAAATGTCTTCTGTTTTATTTTTGAAAATATGTTGCATATATTTCAAGAGAGAAAAATAGGTGCTTTTAAAATTTATTACTAACTATATAGTAATTTATGGCTGATCTTCCAACTTCAATATGAAAGGAAAAAAAAAAAGCAAATCCGTCCTTTATTCAAATTTTAAAATACTATGTTTTGATATGAATTATAATTAATCTTGTACATTAGTCTCAAAGCGTCTTTTTCCTCTTTAAAACTAATAATGAAAAATTATTATAAAGTTCCAAAAATATATAATTACCTCAAAGCGTCTCATTCCTCTTTAAAACTAATAATGAAAAATTATTATAAAGTTCCAAAAATATATAATTACTAAAAAGTTCTATGATAACATAGATGTTATTTTATGTATTGCAACTTGTATTTACTTGTTGTGAAACTTTTCACTAATTACATTCTTTTAAAATCAAATACTATCTTAGAAAAATCAGATAACTAATTTTAAGATATTAAAAAAATTAGTTAAATTAGTTATTTATAACATATATATGTTGATTTTTTGGAGATTACCTCTTTAATTATATGCATTGAAACCATTCTCTAATATGAACTTTTTATAATCAATAAAAATATTTTAAAAAATTTATAAATTTGATAAATAAATTGAATTGAGATCGTACATTTAGAATCAAATTTAACTTTCAGCTAATTTTTGTATTAAGAACAAGAAGTGATAGTAATTTTCCCAAAAACAATTCCATTATTTTAGTCTGAATGACATTTTTGACTTTGAAATCCCCAATCCAATCCACTGATCACATGAATGTGATTGTGACTGTGGAGATAATGATAAATGATCTCACTTATGGTTATTGAACCCAAACATAGCTTCCACAGAATCATTCCTTTCTATCCACTTTTGTTTTTCTAAATTTATTTTCTTTTAAATATCTAATATTTTCTGCAGAAAAAAAAAAAGAATCGTATTTTCTTTGTACGTCATCCACCGATTAGCATTTATATTTGAAATTATCTTTGACTCTTACAAATTATGACCCGTGATGATATTATTTGCTTTAAGGAGAAGCTTCAGAATATGAATATTAATTATTTGAATTTTCTTCGTCAAGCTTCTCCCACTATGTTACAAAAGAAGCAAAATGAGCTATACACAGAAACTGTGCAGATCATTTGGGAACACAAATAACAACTATTAACATTCATATGTGCGTGTGAGAAATTAATCCACAAGTCTTCATATTTTACTTTAATTTTAAATTAGATCCCTGCAATTTGTTTGGCCAAAAATTAGATCCCTGTAGTTAATACTAGGTCTTAGGAATCCACAAGTAAGTTCATACCCTTTATTCTCTGTGACTCAATAAAATGAATGTCTCTGACTCAATAAAATGAATGCTCCAAAACTTGAATTAAAAATGGCTAAAAATTAAAAAAGGACACGATTATGAATGTCCTGTTACAAAATCCTCCCCCCCCAAAAAAAAAAAAAAACCTTATACTTCCTTCCGCTATAAATGTAAGAATTAGATAACTAATTTAAAAATATTAAAAAATTAATTAAGTGGGTTATTTGAAACAAATTGTATTTGTGTTTTCTAAACTAATCTTTTGTATATAAAATAGGAATCTTATGATCAATAGAAATATTTTGGTAAAAAATTTATAACAGATCAAACAAATTAAAATCTTATATTTACAATTAAACACAACCACCAGCCAGCTCTATTAAGACCAAAAGGTAGTATGAGCCTATTAGGTTCTGGGACCAAAAAAAGAAAAAAGCCTATAAGATTCTTCAATGGAGAAATGCAGAAAATGCATGTGAGATAAAAGTACCTGAGAATTTCATGTATCATGTTCGTAAGAAAATACCATTAAAAACTACACTTGTTCAGTCCAAAAAAACAAAAAACAAAAAAAGAAGGGCAACTAGAATATTTCACAAAATATCTCTCGTAGTCTTGCCCCAAGAAATTGGGGTTGGCTTAAAACATTTGAACACATTAACAATGCATTAAACCACACATTCATCCCTACTCATAAATCAAAGTACCACGGGGGTTCAAATGCAATATACTAGCTAAGCTTTCCATTATGTGTTACTATCATCCCCTTCAATTGCTCTGTAATAAGAAAGAAAATATTCATGAAATTACCGCTCTTAGCCATCCCATCCATAATACACAAAAATAATATAAAATTCCAGCTCAAATTAAAAGAAAAAATTGAAGTTGTTGAACCAGACTACAGTTTCCAATTCTCCCTAACCTGAAGAGCTACGAGGGGAAGCTTTAAGAATGAACAAGGACTGCTTCACTGCTTGCAGCTTTTTTTACAGCAAGTTCCTCTAAACGTTTCCATGTAGCTTCACGTTTTGCTGTTACTTCATCTTCCTTCGATACGTCTTCCTCGAACTTCTGTAAGCATTCCTTGAACAGATCAGGATCAAGATCATAGAATGTCTTCTTCACATTTAGAGTCAAACTGTGCACAGCCTGATTCCAATGGCTTCTGGCATTTCTCTCCAATGCAGGGAAGATAATGGGCAGTATCACTTTGCGGTTTTGTTTGATCAAGTTCTCAATGTGATCATTGTTCCACAAGAACAACGCCCTCTCTGCCACCTGAAAACAGAAGCACAAGATTTATGTTTGTGCTGTGGGAAGATGGTATGAATTGGCATGCGTGGACATCGATACAGGCTTCAGAACCCGGGGACAGAACAAAAATAGAAATGCTTACGTGTAATATATTGCAATGTATTTGATATGCATATCCAGTACTTTTTGTTTTTGTTTTTTTCCCACAAAAAAATGTGACTTTATGACATGCATATCCAGTCAGTCTCTGACATAAACATGTTAATGGACTTAAATTCTAAAAGTCAACAACACAAAGCAAGCTCTCAATGTGATCATTGTTTCAAAAGAACAACAAACTTTCTTCCCCCTGAAAACAGAAACTTGAGATTTATGTTTGTGTGTTCAAGGGATAGTATGATTAGGGAACATGGGCATTGACACAAACCAGGCAAGAGCAACAGAACAATTGTGTGAGAATTATTTATAATATCGCCTTGTATTTATTATGTGCATCCAGGATACGTCAGGAATGAAATGATAAAAATTGAAAACCAAAAAGCAATTCCAGTTCATCCATCAAAGGTTAGCATGACAATAGTACCAATCACACATTTGGCTGATGGACTACACCAAAGACAAGACCTGGTCCAATTCATAAGCAAGAGTATTTTAAAAAAAAAATCATAAATAGATAACAGGGCCAATAGTCAGAATTAGTTCAGCTTGGAGATACTTCACACATTCTGCCTGCATTAAAAGTAAAAGTTACAAGGTTTTAATTTTAAAAGTAAAAAATCAGATTAAAGTACATTAACAAACAATTCTTGCTGGTTCACGAATATTAAGTTTGAGGCTGGATTACTATAAGAAAGAGTTAATTCATTAATTACTTTTACAGGTAGGAGAGCCTTTCAAGGAAAAAATTAGATAAGAAAAAATATCATACTATAGTGTAATAAGGCGCGAAAAAAAAAAAAAAGAACTAAAACTTTTCTCTTGGATGTTGCAAATTACAGTTTATTGGTACTTTTGTACTTCTAGGCTAGAAAGAACACCTTAAGAAAATTATTAAAATCATGCAAAAAGAAGAATGAAATAATAGCATGACATTTTTTCTCCAACTTTCTTATAAGAAAAGTAAAACAAAGCCAAACCTTTTGGAAGGGTCAATCAGGCATCCGTAAAGAATGGTCAAAAAGTTGTTTTAGTTACTTCTAGATGTGCTTATAACTCAGAAGACCATATTAATAAGTACAGGGCTCCTCTATCCACTTAGAAACTAGACCGACCTCATGTTAGGTTAGTGTGTAGATTAAAAAAAGCAGCAAAAGTTGGAGCAAGGAAGGTAAAGATGGGAATTTAACTTCCATAGCACATTATTCTCAGGACAAATGGGATCACTAAAAATAGCAAATTAGTCATTGACGAGGAAGTTGAGATTTAGAACACCACTGGTAGCATCTATTACATCATACTGTCTTTTCAACAAAAGGCAACCAAGCAACCCATAATGCAAATTATTAGACAAAGATTATGGTTTCTTTGATCTCAGACAAAAATACATCACAATAGAAACATTAAATTTGACAAGCATCCAAGAAAAAAAGAAAAATTGGAATAAAACATTTTTTAACTAAAAAACTGAGTCACAAAAAATTAATGATAATTTCATATACAATGCAGTCCAGCAAACCCCTGAATTGCTACAAATGGAGGATCTAAAAGAGAATTGACTCAATTTCAGTCTACAGCACACATCCCCAAGGAAAGTGGCCGTTGCATCATAAATAATATTATAAACGCTCTCTTTTTTTCTTCCAGTGAAAATGCTCTATTTGTCAAGAAAGAACTATCACAATTCACAGTAGTTTCATTTATTCGCACATAATGCAAAGCTGGCACAAGATATGAACTCCAAGACATGGACTTTAATATTCAGAGACAAGGAAAACTTTCCAGCAATATAAAGAAAGCAATACAAACCAACAAGTAGTGAAATATTGGAAGAAAAGGCTAAATTATCCGACAGAGGGGAAGGAGAGTATTAGAACAATTTATATTTGGACTTAATAGAAATATGGAAGACAAATTAAAACAAAGTTTAAGAGTTTGCAGCAAGATCAGATGATGCACTAAAAATCATACACCACTGTTCATCCACCACCACACCCCCAAAAATAAAATAAAAAAAATAAAAAAACCGCCTCCAATACCCACAAAACCCTCTCCTTTTCTCCGAGAGGCCATTGCTAGGCATGCAAATCCAAGTTGAAGAGCTAAGATTTCCCACAAACCCAGTATACTACTAAATTATTATTTGCATGAGATTATGCTTCATATGACATCCACTTGATTATGCCAGGCGATGGATGCCCTAGCTCATTGGAAAGGGATAACCTTAAAGACCAAAAAAATAAAAAGACTCAAACTCAGACGTCCATGTTTTTCTATTGAGGGATGCCACTCTATGCCCTACAAGACTATGATGGATTACCAGATACATCCAACGCTTAAGTAATTAGAAAACAAAGATTTGAATTATTTCCATGTTTTAGAAAGTGCTGGAACCCAAACAAATACTTGTGTGTATGTGTGTGTGCTAGAAATAATATATTTATAATGAATTTAGATATCAGAAATGCCTGTACAATGAAGAGGGGTTTAAAGCAAAGAAAAGAAAACAATGCTAGGCCCTTGGGATGCCGGCCATCTCCCACCAAAACCATTCTAAATTGCTTCCATAACCTTTCTCACTCTTCTTTCACTCTTTATAAGCCTTCCTCATAACCAGAATTGTTCAGACCCACTCATGTTAGCAACAACAATTAGTAGGAAATCAAGTGATGCAAGAGGTCTCTCATATTCTAGAGGCCTAAAGGTCTTCTTAAAACAAAGGAAAATAGGAAATAAAATCTGCAGGATCACAGAGATCGCTAATGTAAACCCCCATCAAAACTTAACTGTAATGCCCACTTAGAATCATGATGAGGTGAAACAAACAGGAGCAAAACATTGAAACACCATACCTGGAAATGTGAACTATTCAAACACTGTGCTATCCGGCGAAACAATGGCACCATACAACGTTGGAATTCTGGAGATTGAGTTGCTTCCAAGACTTCTTCTAACTCACTCAGGAACATCACTTCTTTTGAACTATTTGTTATTGGCCAGTACTTCAACAATCCCCGGATAATGGTATCAGCAAGCTTGCAATCTTTCTCCACGAATTGGGTAATGCAATAAGACAATTGTTGATGGTACATAGCTAAGCATTTTGGTTTGTGCAGGGGAATAAGTACACGAACAAGAAACAGTTTATGCTCCTCTTTCAATGGTAGTGCAAAACCATTGATGATGCTCCCCAGAATTTCCAAAAATTCAGCAATTCCATTATGCTTCTCTGTCTCAAAAATAAAACGATAAAAGATGTTATTGATAGCTTTCCTGATGAAAGGGCGATGAGCCATGAATTTCCCGTAAATGCGGTGCAGAGTCATTTTTAAATATTCCCGTTCTCTAGGATCTTCAGAGTCAAACAAATCCAAAAGCTTCACTATGAAGGACTGATCAATATATCTTTTAGCCAACTTAGCATCCAGCTCAGGTGATGCCACAAATCTTAGAAAAAGCTCATACACAATTTGCAAGTGAGGCCAAGCAGGATCCATGGAAGGCTCCTCGTCCTCCACATCTAGGGCTTCAACAAACTTGTTCTCGCGCGGCTGAGGACTAAGCGTCCTGAATATATTTACAGACACCATTTTTACAACTTCTTGTATTACAATTTCTGGGAACTTACCACTGGCAGAAGTCACATAGTCTACCATTTCTACCAAGGTCTGCCGCTTAATTTCCTTTTCTTTGGTGTGCTTCGTTGGGTCAGTGAAGTCAAACACAACACAGCACATCTTCAGCTTTTTAATAAACAAGTTCAGCTTCTCAGAATTAGGAACATCCCTGAACGCAGGTAATGCTTCATAAGAGGGAGGCACCGAATTCCCTGTCAGATTTACATTCACAGCCTGGGAAACTCTGTTACCATGATGCTGTCCTGCATTTAAAGCAGAATAAGGGGCTGCCAATACGGAAGAATTTCCAGACTTGCTGCTCCCAAGATCATTGTTTCTGTAGGTAGACGAAGCATTTGAATGAATTGCAGGGCTTCCACTTCCACCTTGTTCCCGATATTCAGTGGATTTAGACGACTTTCGAGGAAGCTTACTGAATATTTGTTTGAACATAATTCATAGAATTAACACCTGCCAGAAATCTGAAATACTAACCCCTTAGGCTTGTGCACCACACGTCTTCGTCTGTTGTGCCGAATAAACCAATATTCATGTAACCTTCCTCAATGACACAAGTTCATGTGCTGAACTTATCACACACATCTTGCCCGAATGTCCCTCAATAGATAAAACATATGATGGCCGCATGAAATCCCCTGTTCATCTGGGAAGCAGAAGGAAACCCACTTCTCTAACCATGGATCAAAACCTAGTCCTCAAGTATTTATCTCATTCACTGAAACTCATCGATAAGTACAGCTTACAAAACGAGTTGACGAGATAATTGGTCAGAGAAGACCAAACCTTCGGACTAGATTCAGAAACACGGCAACGATCAGGAGCAATAATCTTCACGGTGCTATTCAAAATTCAGAATTTCAACCACAGTCCTCCGTTTCTTCGACTTGAGACGAGAGAGAAATACGAAGAATGTTCCGCTGATTCCCCTTTCTGTCCTTCTGTTTCCTGAAAAACAAAAGATAATTTTTCGAACAATCTGCAGAGAATAAAATATATCCCAGCAAAAAATAAATTACTAAATAATAAAATAAAGAGGCGAACCCGGAAAAAGCACATGCAAATGCAAGCATCCAGATAACTCAGAATAACGCAACAGGAAAAAAAGAAAAAAAAGCGAAGAAGAAGAAGTAATTATAGGGTCGTATATACATAGAGCAAACACGGCTTAATCTTCCTCGTCGTTGTTTGTTGACCCGGAAAGATATTCATTACCAGCACGCATTAAAAATTTCCTCTGATTCAAATTCAACCATTCTTCTCTTTCTTTGGGATCCGTTTGGTCGCCACTCGATGGTCAAAGCTGAAGAAAACAGCGACGAAACGAGCGAGAAATGCCCCAGAAAACATCAATTGGCCAGGACACAATTCAAGACGACACTGTCGTCGGTCACATCAAAATCACGCGTTCTGAACGTCAATGAAAGGAACTTCGGCTCGGATTGAGATTGAAGGCCCTGGAAGAATAGCTTTTGTGGTTAGCAAAAGCACAGGGAAAACGGAGTGTAAAACTGTCAATATTTTAAGCTCGCCACGGAAAATTCACAATAAATCGTGTATTTTTATGCATGTTTTGGATTTGGATTTGGCTTTGGCATCCTTTTTGGTTTCAATTTTTGGTTGGTGAAACTGAAGGAAGACAAAAGTAGAATCGAGTAAACACAAAAGAAGATTGTCATTTTTATTCTTCTGGTAAAAAAAATAAAAACTAATTTTGGGAACATTTAAATTCCCAGCAAATATTAACAGTTCAAATTTTATTACTGGGGCCTTGCCGTTTGAAAACATGAGCGTTGTACGGTAAAGCTAATGAAATGTAAAATAAATTTAAATTCTAACTACATTTCCCAAAGGAATGAGCATATTATGCTACTGCTATCCCTACTAGTATAAAGTATTTTCTAGATATTAATTAGCCGGTTAAAAAAATATATTAAGTTTTTTAAAAAAAGTAAGATATTAGTTAAATTTCTAAGATTTCATATAATCAAGACCGGAAGAAGGACATGCATATACATGTACACCATTGTGTAAATTTAGGGAGAGGGGAATTTGACTGGAAAATAATAAATTGGTAAGCAAAAGGAGACTTTTCTTTGAGGTCAAAAATTATTTTTCTTTAAAAAAATGGGGGAAGATTATGCATTTTTTAGCTCGAAAGACTACGGAGAATTAGGCTTTCCTTGACATGGCATAATTTGAAGCAATCATCATTGTCCGCCCAATGGATCGATCGATTTCACAAAAGAGAGAGGAAAAAAAAAAACCCACCAACCAACAAGAAAAAGCTACATGTTCGTATCTATATGCAATTAGAAAATTTGTTTTCAAAAAATAAACTATTTATTCATAAGTATAGCTCAATTTAAACTTACACTACAGCATTCACATTTAGTTAAAATAAAATAAGTAAATGTTAAGACAAAAAGGAAGGCTGTACTGAAAAAGAGGGGGGGGGAAAGCATCATAGGCCAACATTAAACAAACAAATAAATGAAACAGGAACAAATACAAATAAATCTGAGGTTCGCAAACCCATGATTCCTCTACAAGCCTAGCGCATATACCTAGGAAAGAGTATCATGTTATATAGAATAATCCAGCTCACATGCAGGAGGGAATGTATAAAGGTAGATGACCAAGAATGAAAAACATTAGCATTTAGCTAATGGTTGTGCACACGTGCTCCTCTGCTGCCAGAGGCACCGCATCTAAAAATATGCCCCAAATCATCTCACCACAACACTTTTTCTCTCCACGACTCTCTCTCTATATATATACACTTTCTCTTTCTCTCTCCCTCTCCCTCTAACCTGTCAGGGGGAATCTAATAAACATAGGATTTAACAGGTCATCCACGCCCAAATCAAGTTTCAAACAATGACAATCCAACGGCACAAACAACTTTAAAAAAAATGAAAAGAAAAGAAGACAAGTACCTAGAGTATTTACACTTTTCGCCTGGGAAGTAATAAATCTCCAAAAAAACTGGAGCTTGAGTGGATGTTTAAAGTGATAAAAGCTAGCTACGGACTTATTTACTTTGATAAATTTTTATTGGGTCAGCTGGTATTTGGGTGCTTCTGGGAAAAAAAGTAAAAAAAAAAAAAAAAACTGCATAATTAACCCAAGCATATAAATTTAACTGCACAATTATCATAACATCTTATCTTTATCAACGAAGCTCAATAAATGGACAAATTTATAGGCCAATAAATAAAACCAGGGTGTAAGGTAATGAGCCGACAGACGATACTCTCAAATTCCCTACAAAGTACAGTTGGCTCTGCTATTGATATAAGCCTGAATTGACGGTTCTCTTCCCAGAAAGGCCGATAAAACTTCAATGGGATCCTTTGATCCCCCTGGGGCCAATACCTGCCGATATGGTTTAATCAAATAAGCAAATAAAAACCTTCACCGATACGCGAGAATTTCATTAGGTAACCCATACAAAGCTGTATGACAATTTTAACGCTAGTAACAAATAATCAATATAGCTCTTGGGGAAAATGCCATAACATTATGTACCTTGTTCCTGAATTGCATGCCAACGTGATGGTTTGAATTTGAAACATCATTGCCAAATTTTGAGGCAAATATATCAGCAGCAAAAACCTGGACATTTCATCATGAAGTTTTAAAATGTTGAGATATGTGACTATGGTCTTTGATGAAGCAGTGAGTTACTCGTACCTGGCTCCAAATACGACTGTAGCAAGCAGCCTCATAGCCTATGACACTGGAAGGAAAACATGAAGCTGGATTGATTCCTTCTAACATCGGCAAGCCTAACATCACCTGGGAAATGAAAATTGTACACATCTTTCTTCCATTTTTTTTTTCCATTCCACAGTATGAACTCAATGTCGTATACCGTAAATTTATGTACCTTAGGGTGAAGATGCTTGAACAACTCTAGAATGTCTACATTATCAGCAGAATGTATGATTTGATCAAAAAGACCTGTTAGCAAAAAATCATGTGTCAAATTGGAAGTACTATTGACAGATTCTCTCCATCAACAAACAACACCAAGTTCAATTCCTACTCAAAAGAAAAAATAATGGAGAAAATAGTAAGCATCTGACACCTAACAAAAATTGTAAAACCTTGAATAAAAATTACATGGGCCGAACAATGAAAATTTGCCCAGTATAATAACCATGAAAATTACTACGTGCTTTGTATGACATACAGCAGAATACTGTTTCACATTCTTACGACTAGAACATTCAGACTCTAGCATGCAATAGAGGCTCATAGGTATCCAAAATACTCGTCCTTGGAATTTTGAACAGTGTGAATCGAATTTACAAAAAATGAACAAGTCACATCCCAATAGATAAAAGCGATTCAATCACATTTTATTATGAAAAATGCCACAACAGAGACAAGGGAACTAACATTTAAAATCAACGATACATTTCCAATCAATTTTTACTTCTAAGCAGATTTCAAGATATTCAATAAAAACACTAATTATCAATTACACAAGTAAATACATAACATAGTGATACCAAATATGAAGTTTAATTCCATGATGTAAAATGATATAACATACAGTAAAGAATCTCTTGCTTTAGTTTGAGTGCAGAAAAAGAATTCCTCCATCTTTTAATTGATTTACATACGTCTTCCTGTAAGGGCTTTGTAATGTCCTGCAGCTCATTAAATCAATGTAACAATTAACAAGCCTAGAGCGCGATCAAAAGAAGTATTTATTAGACCCATTTCAGATGATTAATGATAGTTTTTGTAATGCCCGCAACTCATTAAATCAATGCAACAAGTAATAAGTGCATAGCGTGATCAAAAGTAGTATTTATTAGACCCATTTCAGATGATTAATGGCAGTTCCAAACTGTTTCAGGGTCATGCAATTAAGAATGCAGTGTTGGAGACACGATTTCTGGTGCAGCTGGCCCCAGATAAATCAGACACACTGCACAGTGAGAATGGTACGACTCTAAAATTATCAGCAATAATCATCACTCGTTTCAGGTGGAGGGGACCAAAATCATTAAAGACTTAAATCATGCAGTGAACGGACAGCAAAACCCACCTGATAGAATCCACTTATCAATTTCAAAGAAGAGCTTTCATAACACCTGCAGTTTTTCACAAGCATGAAGAATGAACTTGGGTTCAAAAAAAAGACCAGTGAAGTCCTTTTATTTTTAAACCATTGAAGAAATATTGATTGAGTGATTGATTACCAATTTTCTAGCACCTGAGCAGGGATTTCCACAAAGTCAGGATCAACACGCAGCCCAGAAAGTCTAGAAAATGATGCGCGATTGCAGATTTGTTGAACCTAGCAGTTTAATTTGAAAAGATTCCATAAGAAAAATATAATGTGCACAAACAAATATAAATGGAAGTACAATCAATGAATAGTAAAAATTTAATAATGCTCTGATTCTTATTAATTGAAAGCTGAACAGTTTGAGTAAAAATAGGGTTGAAGAGCAGTGGTCAACGATCAACATCCAATGAAAACCAATTTTTCTTGAATATAATACAAGGTCAGGAAAATTAATAATAAAGGCCTAACTAACTGACAGATAGATAAAGGCGTAACAACTAAATAAAAAAT